GGCTAGGTGCTGTCACTTACCATGGGTTCTATACAGTAGGTTCTAATGCATATTTTAAACCATAACTTCTGCTCTTACTTTGTTTTATTTCAATTTGAATTTATGGTAGAAACAAAATCATTAAAACCAATACTTTCCCAGGAATTTTCACAATGCCTCCTTATTGGTAGGAAATGCTCCTGAGAGAATTGCAGAAATGCGGTCTTTCCATGATACAAATGTTTCCCATATCCATATTCCTAGAGAACCATCTGTGATAAGGAGAATTTGCTTCAAAACCAACATTTATCCTGAGGTCTAAAGCAATTGATTAATTTTAGTTGCATTTATGGAAGAAGCCCATTAGGTGAAGCCTCTGAAGACAGTAGATTTTTTTTCTCTCTCAGTTGAACACATGGTGCTGTTTTAAACATTTAAATGAAAAATCTGAATCTAAAGACTCCCAAGACTTTTTATCTGATGTGACCAAACTGTTTACTCTTTTAAATCAACCCATTCAAAATAACTCTACAAATTTCACTTATTTCACTGTAGCTGAATATTGTGGCAAAATATTGTAGCAGGGAGTACATCTCTTTGGGCTCCAGCCTCACTCTCTTCTACTTTTGTCCCCATCACCAGCCTGCTCAACCCTCATTAGGTTGCTCTGGGATTGACAGAGCTGCATCTCTTTCTAGATGTACTGTATTCTTACCGCTTAGCATTCTTACACTGAGTCAAGTGTGAGTGAAGTTTTGGGGAGTGGTATACTGTAGCAGTTAAATCTGGCAGTACAAATGGAGTTTATAATAAATCATTGTTATGAAGTTTGAACCTGATTCTTGGGTTTTCCATTCGGAATTGATTTGACAGCAGTGCAATATTTGAAGGAAATAATACTTTCTAATGCTTGAGGGATACAGTTCTGACTTAGAATCATTTCACAATTTTATGTCCAAGTTGCTAGAGAATACATTGGTCATCTACTTTTCACTAAAATAAAACAAGTAGTCTTTGTTTGAGTTGGTTGGTTTTGGAAGAGGCTTAGGGATCCCCTTGAGACAACACCTAATCTGGTGAAGTGACCACAGGTTAACATTTGAATATATTTAACAGTGATTTAAGGAGTCATTTATCAGTTCATTATATTTTGAAGTGAGGGTGAGCATCTGACATGAACCTGTGACTAATAACATCAAACAAATTTAGGCTAGTCAGGGCCTCAGATGGTTATCTGAATTCAGTTTGTCTTGCCTTTCACTGATAATTATACATCTGTACATTTCACTTAATATATAAAGAATATGCCACATTGAAAATTGTGCCTTTGCAGAAATTTTAACTGAACTATATACATGCCTCCCTTTGTGCATTCTGTTTGTCTCTTTCCACACTAGTTCTGTTTAATTGATATTGTCTCATACAAAATTCAGTAACTGAGAAGTGGTGAGTAGCTTCTTCTCCCTGTAAGTCTCCCTGTAAATAAGTGAATAGTTGAGATCATCCACGGGGACAAAGTAGTTGTAGTGGATAACGTTCATATATACCAAATGCTTCCATGTGAATTGGTATTGTTTTTATCAGAAAATATTATATTTACCTTAGAGCTTTTTCATCAATTAATCATGGCAGTTGGTGGATGAAAATCATATTGCTTTGGAGTTCAGCTATTTTTTCTGAGGTAAATAACCTTAAAAAAAAAAAAAAAGCCTAACATATTTTGCACAGATACGTGCTAGATCAAGCAAAGGTATCTCACAGTCAATTTTATTTTGCTAAGTTGATCAAAACTAAGAAGATGAATTAGGCACTGAAAATCATTAAAACGTATTCCAGGTCAAACCTCCTCTTCCTGCTTTGTTTTTGTTTTTTGTTTTGTAATTGTTTCCTATAGGAAGCTAAAAATAGAATTAAAATTACAACAAAGCTCTACAAAGCATTAGCTGTTTGAGTAATAAAGGATTTCATCAGAAAGTGTCAGCTGGTCAGGTAGAAATGAAACCATTGCAATATTTATTTTCTCACTAACTTGGATTCTTTATGTTTCGATAATTCTACAATGAAACCTTATTTTATATAAGGTTTATTTTATTTTATATAAAATAAGCTATGTTTCCAGAAAAAAATGAGAGCATAAAAGTGTTTGTAGAGTAAAGAAATGTGAGCTTTCAGCAGTCTTAATATTTCCTCAAAGAAAAGCACCTTTTCCTTTTTTCTTATTAATTTGGAAAAATATTTTAGGGCTTCCTTTTCCTGACTTTAGAGAAGTGACATTGCACAATGTGTTTCAGTCCTCCCCATGTTTCAACCCGACTAGCAGAACCATAATTACATTACTGCTTTTGTCCCTGGTCTGCATTCGACAATGTGCTATTTTTAACTTCTAAGGAAACGTCCAAGTTTAACCATTTCAAACAGATGTAGAAGGGTTTTTTTTAGTCTGTACTCATTGCTTAACCTGTTAAAATCACTACAAAATCATGTTTTTCATGTTTTTCTGGCCTTGGTTCAAGGCGGAAGCTGGAACTAGCAGTTATTAGATTAAAAGAAGGTTGT